AAAGGACAAGTTCTATTTCTCTCCAGTTGTATGTTTTAGCACACACAGCTTGCTTATGTAGTAGTAGTACCCTGTCTCTATAAAAAGGGGGTAAACATGAGAACAGGAAACTCTGATACTTGCCAGATGATTGCCTTCCCACACTTGACCTGGAAAGGAACTATTTCTCCTTGGGTAATACATTACATTAAATGTATTTAAAGACACAGCAAGGATGGTGTGCTTGTTTTTTCCACAGAAGCAAATTTGGAGATATGCAGTGTGCTGATGTACCAAAAAATTACACTTTTTACAGAAGCATGGGAAGTATCCTCTTGGATATTTTCTAGTTGAGAGGTGGTTTTGGAGATTGTGTGTGTGGCTCCTGGAGCAACAAAAATATTTTAGATTTGCTGTTGATTTTTGATCTTTTTCTTTCCCCAGTTCCAAGCAAATAAAAAGGGCTTGCTCACTTGTTTTCAGTTGAAAGGACTAATTTGACTCAAGAAGGTGATGCTGCAGATGCAATGGGTTGCCACTGGCTTCAAGGCAGGAAATAACATTTGTAAAGAGAAGGTGGGAGTTTCTCTTTCTCACGTGGCATTAGGTAGTCAGTGTTGTCTTTTTCTCCCCTTGGTGTCCAAACACTGTCTTGTCCTCAGAGGGAGGTTGCAGGGAGACAGATAGCAATTAACCAAGGATTGACAGATGTTGGCATGAGGTTTAACATCCCTCCTTCCCCTTTTTGCAGGTCATCTTCAGCACTGAATGTAGGGTCAACATGACCATTCCTTCACCTTGACATAAAGGCTCCAAACATACACTTGAAGATGTTGTTCTGTTTCCCTGTCTTTCCTCCTTCTCCCCCTCTGAGGAGATATCCAGATTATCCATTATGGCGATGTGTTTGAAATGAGGCCAGTTGTGTGGTAGGACAGAAGTCTACCACTAACTCATTGATAAAGGTTGCCAAGCAAGTTCATGCTTGAACTATTGCTTAATAACTGAAAAGTAAAAAGCCCTAGCATAACTGCTTTCACACAGCTTTACTAGTATTATTATGCCAAATGAGTTGTTATGAGCAAAGCACTATAAAAGGAAGATAGTTCCACTGATTTTTCTTACATTATCTTCCCAGAAAACTAAAAAGTCTTGAGTATGGATGATAATTTAAAAAAAAAAAATCTTTGTAGGTAATATAGAGGGTTATTGGAATTATTTGTAATAATAATTATTCAGACAATCATCCAAATATTTTCAGGCATTCCATTTTCAGCTACAAGTGGGAAAATCTTGGTGGGACTCGGAGCAGGGGGAAAGCAACACAAAAAAATCGCAGTACTGTTATTGAAAATCTAACTTCTATCCTAAAGAAGGTAGCCTTGGGGACGAATGGGTAGATGGCATTGGGAATAAAGGATCGAATTTTGGGCTGAAGAGTCCTGTTGAATTCTTGACTCTGTCAAAGATGAGATGCATGAACTTGGTTACATCGCTCCTTCTCTTTTTCCTTCCTGCCTTATTTAAACCAGGTACCACAAATAATTATAATTTTTGAAAATTCAAGCATGATACTTATGTATTAGTACCAAGCAGAAAGCTTGAAACAGCAAGATTTAAAATCACTTCTGATTCAATGATGATTATTCTGGATCAGACAAAAAAGAATTCATTAACCAGGTTTGCTGGAGTTATTTCACCTCAACGTTTGGAAGTGGAAACAATTGCATGACTGAGACAAGCTCACAGGGAGACATGGAAGCTGTGGAGAGGGTTACCTGCCCTGTCCCCAGTATTTCCCACAACAGAGCATAGCTTGTCTCCAGTTGCCTGTATCAGGCACACTCCTGTCCTGCCACGCACTAAGGAACATGAGAAAGATCAGTGGGTGGAAGGAGAGGACATGAAATTGTGAGTGGGAAGTATTAAAGAACTTGTAGCTGTAGTAAATTCTGATCAGACAGTGCTGAGCTACAAAAATACATAGACAAATTAATTTCTTATGGTGAAGGACACCAGTAGGCTGCTGGGGGAACCAGACTGATGGGATGCAATGGGTGGCTGAGAGACAAGTATCATTCAGCTATCTTCTATGGAAGATCTAAGAAGACAAATCAAGGAGAAAAAGGAGTTGGTGATCTTCTATTAGGAGTTAAAATTACCATTTACTTCGGGAAGATGCAAAGTTCCTGTACTAAACTGTTTCGCCTCCATATGGAGAGCAGCACTGAGCACTGCAGCACAGGCTCACAGAATGGAAGGAAGGGTCTGAGCATCACGCACAGCTAAGCTCCGTAGCAAGGAAGAAATGGGAAAGAGCAAGTAGGGGGAAGCTGGTTCTGGTTTTGGGGCAAACGTCCCTTGTGGTGGGCTGAGTACTTCCTGCACAGAGTATCAGCTTTTGATCAAGTAGTTATTTTGAACTAGGGATTGGAAAGCATACTTTTTATGGGAGTTCCATCTTGTGTTGCTCAAAATGTTCAACACACCAGTACATTTTTTTTTCTGGTTTCAGGAGAAACAACAATTTGAGATAGTTTTTTGGGTTGGGTTTACACTGGGCTTAATTCAGTGCATAGCAAGGATGGCTGTCTCTGTAGCATGGTTGAGTGTAACACAGAAATAAGTAGCTGAATTTTCCTGTCTCCTCATCCCTTTTCCTCCCAGCTGAGTTCAAAGAAGTAGAGGTTATTCACAAGCAGTCCCTCCATGACACCTACCAACAATCCCCAGGTTGTGAACTGATCAGCTGGAAGACTGAGCTACCTTCATCATAATGTGTGGTGGCAGAACATTATGGGAAAAGCAACACGACTTCTTCCCCTATTGTACCAGTGCATAAAAGTCTTCACTTTTCAGAGCTGTTAGTCTGTCATTTTCATGAACGCTGCTACATGCAGTGAATGATTTATTTTCTCGCCTCAGATAAAGACTGTGCAGTTGAATTCCTAGGTTTTCTGACTTAAACGTTTTCTTATGTTTTCTTGGGTAAAAATAAAGTCTCCTATGATTTTCATTTTTGAAACTTGTATTTTATAGAATTTGGAAGGGAATATAGTTCCTGAGACTATGTTCATTTCTCAGCCAGCAATGTGACATTTAAACTTGTTTTAAAAACAAAGAAGAAAAAGTGTCAGACTCAGTGCAATTATGTTCTTGTTCCATCTAAGCACCTTTCCCCTCCATTTGCAGGCACTCATCTTTTCCTGGTTGCTGAGCCAGCTGTAGAGCCTGCAGGTGGAGAGTGCTGTTCTGTAGGATGACATAATGGCACCTGAGTTAGAAAGCTGTCTCCTTAGCTATGCTGGAAGTTACCATCCCAGGTGTCTCATCAAACTGCAAAAGCTTATCTTAAATATGGGCAGTTTTCTGATATTTTGGGGCACTTTGACACAATTGTCCCTGTCAGTCAGCACAGGGTAGCACATTGGGTAGCCTATATACTTTTGAGTGTGTCAGTCTTGCTGCCACTGTTAAGTGTTTATGATTTCTTCTAAGCGATTCTTCATGTAGCTTAGGTTTATTTTGGTCACTAATACAGAAACCCTTGTTCAGAATCAGCATCTTCTAATGACTTGTCTTACACTCCAGTTTTGTAGGCACCATCAATTCATTATTTTCATCACCATTTAGGCAAAGAGTATTTGTCAATAGACCCTTTTTAACTGGGACTTGATGTTGGATCTTTATTTTCATCTGTCCAGATGAGACAGAGCTGTTTACACCAACAGAGAGAAAACATGCAATAAGCTAACACTGAAATAATTGCTAATTGCAATCTCAGTGGCTCTACCAAGAGATGGCCACAAGCTATGTGTTTTGTTAGGTCTGCAGTATTTTCTGGTGAAAAAGAAAATTGCTCGCTTGTTTAAAAAGAAAAAAAAAAATTACATTTGTGAGATGTGGCTTGTCCTACACTAGCAGTGCAAATGCTGTAGGTCAAATATTTTTAAATTGAGACACAGAAAGAAGCAGACCTGTATGTGTATGACAATACACAGTATTTTAACTTTTAAAAGGCAGTCTGTGTGTTAGGCAGTAATAGCACTGGCAGAATTCTGTTACTAACTAGATTAAAACAGAGAAAATAGGTGGTCTTTTGGTGGAAGCATAGAATGAAGAATCTACTTGTAACTGACTCAGGGGCCAGTTCCTATAGGACAGACATTTGCTATATGTATTATAATACACAGGTTATCTGTCTTTCTTTAAAAGTGGAAAACGCAAATATGGCCAAGTTAATTTACATAGCATTGAGCTAAACTTACAAAATCATATAATAGGTTAAGGTAAGGTGGAAGCCAGCATGAAACTAAAACAGAGCTTTTCAAGACAACTTTCTATCTATATATGGACACTTAAATTTATAGATAGGAACACACTGAGTGTTAGAAAATTACATAGACAGTTGAGGTTTCTGAATCTGGCTGAAATGTGTAGAAATGAGGTTCCTGTACTGCTGCCTGCCTTTGAAAATCCTGCTGGGTTCTGTATATTGGACTCACTGTGGAAATCCAGTTCTTAGCAACATTTCTGTTGCCTGTTTCCCGGAACAGAGATGCTGAATGAGGATCCTCCAGGAATGAGGGTGGATGCTCTCATGGGAGAGAAATGGTTGTCCTGAGAGACTTCCCAACAAAACATCTGTGTCTTCCACCACAGCTTGGCAGATCTACTGGCTGTTGTAAGGCCCTAGGGATGTACGAAAAGGCCAACTGCAGAGGGGAGGGGTAGCTATATAGAGGTCAGAGAACTTAGAAAAACTTTTGCAATTCCAGACCACACAGACAGCAAATGGGATTCTTGATCTTACTTATCAGTTAAGGTGTAATGTCTATGTTGTTATGCAGTGGGTAGTCATAATTTTAAATGCAGTGATGGGCCTGTGAGGAGTTGGCCCAGTTTTGGAAAGTCTTGCCCTTTTTCTTCTTTCAGAGAAGATTAGAATCACTTCATATCCTGTTTTCATTTTGCTCTTCCATGGAACACTTCATCTAAGAAGCTTTCTTCTTTTCTTGCAGTCCTCATTCCATCCCAGATCGCCTGCGGATCAGAGTGAACAGGATTAATTTACAAGAATATGAGGGGCTACATTACGACAAGGAAAAACTCCGGGAAGCTTGTAAGTTGGAAGAAGACAGGTTGTAGCTGCTTTTGGTGGAACATTCTGTATACATCTCTACACTACAAAAAAACTCAACAAACTGAACCAAAACAACAACAAAAACCAAACATGGGGTCAAGCATATATTTTTGATGAGTCATGTGGAATGTATGTTCATCTATCTGTGCATATGCACATACATATATTCTCTCTATATAAATACTGTCTCTCTAAAGAGCATATATAGAGAATTTACCTGTTTTCTTACTTAAAATCAACTTTCAGAAGGCATAGTTATTTACTGCAAAATAAGTGGTTTTCACATCTGTTGGGTTTTTATTCATGTCTTCCTGTTGGTTCTGCTGGGTTTCTACTAGTGTATGAAACTATTCTAGATTTTCTGATTAGCATCAGATTTGAAACTGAGTGGGGGACCATGATAAAATTCATATTGAGAATGTGCTCTGACCTTGAACATGGTTCTTGCACAGGTGCATTTATCTTGGGAACAAATATGGCTTCCCCAGTCCCTTATTCTTTAACAGCCTTCAGTTTTCCATGTAAGAGAATAATCACTGTTTTGTTTCCTCATGTAATGGTTTAATTGCCATGTTCAGGGGTAAGTCAAAAGCAGAGAGTGGTTTCTTTGGCAACATTGATGATGGCAATCCACACTTAAAAGTGGAGTCATTAATCAGTGAGGGACACGTCTGCTTGTGATAACAATTTAATAGTCTTGCTCATGCATCTGGCTCATTATTCATATTAAATGACAAGCATGACTGTTTGCTGTGCAACAAAGCTTCAGCTCCCTCTGTAATACAGAGTGCTCTGGTAATTACAGGATGACAATACTTTTAATTGATTTGTTTATCTTACTATTGGAAGATAGTTAAACTCTTTCACTTTCACTCCTCTAGTTCCATCCCTCCTTATTCTCCCAGTTCACCAGCTATCTTTCCAACAAAAGAACTGTAATGACTTAAATTTTAATATAGGTCCTGATAGCCTTTTCTGAAGTCTCAGTGTATTTTGGCCATAGTTAAAGCAATCAAAGCCTTCATCACTGGACTGAGAAGAATTTTAACAGGATGAGGATTATGGCTCACTGGAGAAGAATTTGCTTCAAGGTCAAACTCTCAATTGAAACTTGAGTAGACTTCAGGCTGTATTGAACTCAGATCTATCCAACTCTGTCAGAAACAACCTGGTTCATTTGATGGTTTCCCATCTGAGGAGAACTATCCTCATCCATCCTTGTTATGGATGTAAATTTTGTGTGTGTGTGTGTATTTGGTATATATTATGTAGTCCTTAAGAGCCATTTACATGTTCTGACACAAAATACACAACTTTTTGCACTGTTGTCACTGCAATTGTAAATGTGTTTTTATGCTATTTGTCACCTGCAAAACCCCATAATGATAACATTATGAAAAATGCCAGAGAATGATCTAGCACCTCTGAGATTTGGTTTTAGATTTCACACCCATTTCATCACTTGCTGGATGTGTGCTTGAGAAGTTTTCATTCAAAAAGTAGATGTTTATCCATCAAGAGTTTAAATGATTGCTTTTGGGCATTGGTAGGTCACTTGCAGTAAGACCCTTTTGTCTCTCTCAAGTTACTGCATGGCCAGCTTGATAGCGTAACACAGCTGGACTGGCGTATTCTCTCCAGACATTTTTCATGTAGTTGTTTTTCTTATTTGTCCTCCTTTAGCTGTCTCAGTAATGCTTGTGCATTACTGTTTTTACATTAAAATATGAAAAAGCAAATAATATCCCCATCAGCCAAAAATAGATTAGGAAAGATACCCCACCTTACCCTTTGCTGTTATTAGGAATGTCCTGTGTAAGGACGTATAACTCACAGCATACACTGAGGGTCATCCGCCTACTTCTCTGGACATATAACTTAAGTGTCTCCTCTGAGAGTTGTCCAGCCTTTAGTTTTCAGGAGGCTGATCTTGATTTGAAGGCTTCTGGGTGATGCTAATTATGACAGAAGAAAATTATGTACGGGAAGAGAAGTGCTCTCAGCAGTCAGAAACCAAACTGTTTTAAATATTCTAGCCAGCTCCTTGAATTTCATGAAGTAAAAAATGGAAAGTCCCTGTGGTTCACTGAGCACAGACCTAACGTTTGAGTTTTCCTGTGACTTACCGCAGGATTCTCTTATCTCTTCTGGAAACTGAGGCATAGCCAGTCATCAAGCTGCATGGTTACACTAGAAAACTACATAAGTTTTTATGAGGAAGGAAGCTGGAAAATCATGTAAATCTTCCTTTTAAGAAGAGTAGATAGATAGCCATTTTAATTGCATTTCTGATGTAGCTAATTGGACAAATTTTAAATAGTTTTAAACAAATTTTAAAACTTTAAACAAATTTTAAATAGTTTTCTGGTGGCAGGTCTATGGATTGCTGCCTTCCTGGCTCTATCATATGCTAAATACTTACATGAAATAAGCTTGCTGTCTGTGTCCTAATCAGCAAATGATTTCATGGAGCATTGCCACTAAAAGTTACTTGACTAAAGGGAGAGGAGGGAAGTTCTGGGGGAGAAGCAGCGACTCTCTTTACCAAAGAAAGTGATTGGGAGGGGTGGGGAGTGGAAAATAATAAATTTCCATGGCAGGAATGAATAACTGAAATTTCATCAGTCTGAATTAAAAGTTTAAATACAAATGCTTGTGCACTAGCAGAATACAAGAGCACTTGTATTGGGCCTTGCTTTTCTACAAGGCTTGTTAGTGTAAGTGGGGTTAGCTTCCTTCAGCATGACTGTAGCTCTCAGGTGCATGTATGTCTCACTAGATGCTTGCAAGAGACTCAATTTAGGTATCTGTCCAGGCTTTGGCAGAATACCTAAAACTTAATTCCGGAGTACTATAGTTAATATCCATTCCCTGCACACAAGGGTTAAAAGCACTTTTACATCCCTAAATAATTCGAAAACCAAACCAGAATCTCACAGCAATCTGAACAGGAAAAGGAAGCCAGTTAATAACAAGTGATCCCTGAAGGAAAAATAGCAAAGAATCTATTAGGTTTTTTGCCTGTTACATGTCTCCATAACAGAGTTTTGAAAGCTCTGACATCAGTGTAATCATCTGGATCATTTTAACTTGCAGTAAATACATTTCACTCCCCTTGTTTGCTTGAAATACTGATTTGATTCTATCAACTACTTCACCTAACATTGCACTTCCCGACATATAACAACTTGTCATACAAACTGTTCCATGAAGATTAATCTTCACTCTGCTGGAGGTAGACACCTCATTTTGAAAGCCTCCTGAGGAATTAAAAAATGTCATTTTGTCCTCTGAAGGGCGCGAATGTTCTTAGCCCATTCTCCTTTGGTTACTTTCTACTTTTCTTGTCACTGCAGCTGGCATTTAAGCAAGATGCTGTTTCTGAATTGTCCCTTTCTTTCCACCCTGTGCTCCTTCTTTTCTCCTTCATTGTTTCTTCTGTCAACATCTCTGTATTGTCTGTGGGATGATTGATGATGGTACAGAGGATGCTTATTGATCCTTCATCAAGGAGGGGTGAATGGTTCCATGCACTCTTTTAAGAAAGGGATATATGTTGGCATTTTAGTTATGTTGTAATGTTCTTCGCTGCAAATGTAGCTGTCTTCTCTAACACCTCCCTGTACATGCCCCAAGTGCTCGTCACCCTAGTCACCAGCTTCACCACCTTCCCAGTATGATAGTTGTATATTACATGAGCATAGCCAAGACTATCATATTGAAAAAGTGAGTTGGACTGATGTTTCTAGATGGATGGAACTTAATTCTGTCTCTCTTCCTGCATATCTTCTGTGTACTCTCTCTGATTTCCTGTTATTGCAGGAAAATGTGAGCCAAAGCAGCATTGTGGGGTAACAACTGCGTTATTTTTAAAATAGCAAAACCTTTCTGTTTAACACCCTATTTTCCCCTTTCTAATGTTACTAAGAAATTCCTGACAATGGAGGTATATGCAGAAATTAGTTACATTAAAAAAAAAAACATTAAAAAAAAATCAACAACAAACAAACCAACCATAAACTAGCTAGTGACCAAGTGGTCTTCTACACTTCTTAGTCCTTCCTGCCAACACTATTGTAGATTTGCACCATGAAGATGGAGTGGTGAAATAGTTGACTATCAGCAGTAACTGCACAGTTGTTTGTTGCGTTTTTTTTTTTTTAATAAAAGATGTCAGTTCTTACTGCCCTCAACTTCTTGTTTTGTACACTCTAGCCATGGAGAATGATCTTAGGTTGCTCAATAGCACTAAGATTAAGGAGGAATCATACCTGACTGCAGTGGTGGCAGTATCAGAAATAATTCTCAGCTCTGTAACAGCTTTGGGTCTCCAAAACTGTCTTTTACACAGAAGCAGCTGTTCCTCATCTCCTCTTGAATAAAATGGCACACTAGATTAAAATGCAATTTTGGAAGAAAATTTAGTTCTGTATGTATAACAATTGAACTATCTGCAATCTAACAATCCTTTTTGCTGCAGCCTCCTTGCTTTACGTGTGTGGGGAGAGGGTGGTATAACATGATGTGATGTTAGCCTCGAATTCTTGTCTCTCTCTGATTATATCTAGCCAGATATCTATATTGCATGTGTCCCTACCTTTATTTTCTGTGGATTATCTGAGGGTTTTGGGGTCATCCTAGGAGTTCTTCTCAGGTGCACAGAGATACATCGAGTGACAAGCTTGTGAGTCATTTGGGATGTGTATATGTACGGAGATACTGTAGCTTCCTCATATCAGTGATGCACTTGCCAGAGTTTGAGACTCCTTGATCTATGAAATGTATTCTGAAACGTTAAAGCTCTGGGATATGGCAGGTGAAGTTAATTTGGAGACTATTCCATGTGATTTTGAGCAACTAGCGAAACAAGAAAAGGTCAACACTGAGGTCTGGGTATTTACATCCTGAATATCCATAACATAACGGGCAGAGGGGAGCAGAGGATCTCCTGCTAGGTGGTACGATGAGGTAAATCTGAA